AGGACTGGACACTGTCAACCAACAGTACAGGATCTGAGCTAGATCACCCAATGCCTATGAAAGCCTCAGCACTGCCTTCTAAAGCAGCACAAACTGCCATTTCCATCCCCTTACATTTATGAAATTTGTTAAGGCATCCAAATAAGTGATTCCCTTCTCTTAATTTTCTGCAAAACAGCCAGTGGTCTAGATCTCATTACCATTTAAATTCAGTTACAGAAATGTTACAAATGTCTAGAATCTACATATGGTTTACAGTCTAATTTTCTGGGTAGTAGTTTACTGCCTCTCTATACTATAACAGCAATTGTTGCCAAAAACTGTCAAATGGTTATGCACCAATGTACTGTGTTAGATATTAACTGCTAGCTGAAGCTATGTTTCCTCTTTCTTGATATAGTTCATGTGTTAGTAGAAAAACACAGGGATTGAGAAGGAAGAAAAAAACAGAGAGACTCTACATTATTGTTAAATGTAGGAAATTCTTAAAAGAGACTGCACATGAGAAAATGAGAAAACTAATGTAAAATCTTTTCAGCTATGAAAAAAAAATAAATGTATAAATAAAGGCAGCCTGAGTTGTCTCAGTGCCAGTATGTGTGCACTGCACTTCTTGGTTCAAATCTTCTTTTGCTGACTCCATATACCCTTCTTTGGATTTTCAACTTCAACAGGGCTGGACTCCAGCATTAACCAACAATAAATTTATATAAGTATTTTACTTCTTTGGATATATATTGTGTAACTTTTCCTGGAGAGATATAATAAGATGTCAATTCACCTCAGGTAGGGCACTGATGTATGATTTAATCAACCAGTGAATTTGTTGGGGCTACTAACAACAGCATGGTAAAACAAAGGCATCATCCGAAGCTCACCCTAATATGGCTGACAGCCCACAAATCTACATTCCCTGTGTAGCTTACAGACAGCTTAGTGGGTAAATCTCTTGACCGTAGCAATTGTTGTTGCTTACATACATTGAGGAGCATCTTACAAACCTTGTAATTTTCATGAGCTTGCATGTTTTGTCTTCCTGATGCTCATAAGCCTTTCTCTAATTGTTCAGACTGTTCTCATTGCCCTGGCATTTGTAAGTTCAATCTTTTTATTGAACTAGAAGACAGAATCAAGATTAGAAGTACAACTGATGGTTTCTAACATGCCATTGGGGATTGCCATTCAGAGGTACCTCAGCACAAACAACTGATGAGTTGAATACTACTTGCAATTTACCAATGCCTTTTAAGTCCTATTGTTCTCATTTTCTACAAAAACATAGAATTATGTGTACTTTTAGACAAAATTATGAGAAAAACTGAAGCACAATTTTCCTGATACTATAGAATGCATGTCTGCAGTAGGTTAGACACTATACTTTATCAACTCTACATTCTATGCTTCACAACATGATAGTAGCTCCAGAAACTAAAGAGTTACTATTTGCATAAAGGATATCAACAACAAAACTTGTCTTTATTGCACGGATTTTTAAATTTTACCTTTGCCTTAAATAGAAATATAATACCAATACTGAAACCAAGGAATGGTACCACAGAAGGTACCATTTCAAACTGGGCAATTAATACTGGTTCAATGAAATCTAACTCAGTTCTGCTCATAGCAATTGAGAATTATCACTTACACAAAATAGCATATGAAAAAGTAAATGTGATATTAGAAGCTAAGTAGGAATATAATACTACTAATTTTCTATAAGTCAGTGGAAAATTCTATATTAGTTCATAAATGAAACAATTTTCATACATGAAATTCCTCTGTAATATCAAAAGTATTGTAATTCCACGAGACTAATGTTGGTATTGGACTTATTTTCATTAACTTATTCTTATTTAAATCATAGTATAATTTTGCATGTAGTTGATTCGTCAGTCCAAGCTTGGATTATATCCCTTACCTAAAAGCTGTATTACAGAGCAATCATGTTAAAAATCATGGTACTGGTACAGAGTCAGGCAGGTAGATCAATAGAATAGAATTGAAAATCCAGAAATGAACCCACACACCTATGGTCACTTGATCTTTGACAAAGGAGCTAAAACATCCAGTGGAAAAAAGACAGCATTTTCAACAAATGGTGCTGGTTCAACTGGCAGTCAGCATGTAGAAAAATGCAAATCAACCCATTCTTATGTCCTTGTACTAAGCTCAAGTCAAAGTGGATCAAGGACCTCCACATAAAACCAGATACAATGAATCTAACAGAAGAGAAGGTGGGGAAGAGCCTTGAACATATGGGCACAGGAGAAAATTTCCTGAACAGAACACCAATGGCTTATGCTCTAAGATCAACAATAGACAAATGGGATCTCATAAAATTGAAAACCTTCTGTAAGGCAAAGAACACTGTCAATAGGACAAAACAGCAACCAACAGATTAGGAAAAGATCCTTACCAATCCTACATCCAATAGAGGGCCAATATCCAATATATACAAGAACTCAAGAAGTTAAGACTCCAGAGAATCAAATAGCCCTATTAAAAATTGGGTACAGAGCTAAACAAAGAATTCTCAACTGAGAAATACTGAATGGCCAAGAAGCACCTAAAGAAGTGTAGCACCTAAAGAAGTGTTCAACATCCTTAGTCACCGGGGAAATGCAAATCAAAACAACCCTGAGATTCCACCTCACACCAGTCAGAATGGCTAAGATCAAAAATTCAGGTGACAGCAGATGCTGGCAAGGATGTGGAGAAAGAGGAACACTCCTCCATTGTTGGTGGGATTGCAAGCTAGTACAATCACTCTGGAAATCAGTCTGGCAGTTCCTCAGAAAATTGGACATAGTATTACCTGAGGATCCAGCTATACCACTCCTAGGCATATAACCAAAATATGCTCCAGCCTAAAAGAAGGACATATGCTCCACTATGTTCATAGCAGTCTTATTTATAATAGCCAGAAGCTGGAAAGAACCCAGATGTCCTTCAATAGAGGAATGGATACAGAAAAATGTAGTACATTTACACAATGGAGTACTACTCAGCTATTAAAAACAATGACTTCATGAAATTCTTAGGCAAATGGATGGAATTAGAAAATATCATCCTGAGTGAGATAACCCAATCACAAAAGAACCCACATGGTATGCAGTCACTGATAAATGGATATTAGCCCCAAATCTTGGAATACCCAAGATACAATTCACAACCACACAAAGCTCAAGAAGAAGGAAGACAAAAGTGTGGGTGCTTCCATACTTCCTAGAAAGGGAAACAAAATGCTCACAAGATCAAATATGCAGGTAGACAAAGTGTGGAGCAGAGACAGAAGGAAAGATTATCTAGAGACTGCCCCACATGGGCATACATCCCATATAGTCACCAAACCAGACACTACTGTGAATACCAAGAAGTGCATGCTGACAGGAGCCTGATATAGCTGTCTCCTGAGAGGCTCTGCCAGAGACTGACAAATACAGAGGGGATGCTCGCAGCCAACCATTGGAGTACGGGGTCCCCAATAGTGTCCCCAATGGAGGAGTTAGAGAAAGGACTGAAGAGCTGAAGGGGTTTGCAATATCATAGGAAGAACAACAATATCAACCAACCAGACACCCCAGAGCTCCCAGGGACTAAACCACCAACCAAAGAGTACACATGGAGGGATCCATGGCTCCAGCTGCATATGTAGCAGATGATGGCCTTGTTGGGCATCAATGGGGGAAGAGGGCCTTGGTCCTGTGAAGGCTTGATGCCCCAGTGTAGGGGAATTTGAGGGTGGCTCACAGAAGCAGGGTAGGGGGGACGGAATAGGGAGTTTCCGGGGAGGAAAACTGGGAAAAGGGATAACATTTGAAATGTAAATAAAGAAAATATCCAAGAAAAAAAAAAGAAAAAAAAGAACTCTTGTTTTATAGACTATATTATCAGAAAGTTTGCAGACAATGTGAATTCTTTCTTTAAAACCTATCTGAATGACCTCAATGAAAAGATGCAATAACACTATCATGTGACTTTTAGTTTCTATACCTACAGATTTGTGCTATCTCCTACTGCTAACATCCCTAAGTCCATTGCACAAACTCCCAAGTAGCTGGAAACCTACCAGAGTTTGGAGAAGTTTCAGCTAGACAACCATGTTGATGGTTTACCTGTATGAGCTTCAAGAACTTCTTACTAAAATATGTCAGGATAAAATACCTAATTCTGCCAAAAATGCAAAGAGAATATCTACAGATAGTAAGTATATTTCTTTAAAAGCTGGGTAAAGTGGTCTTCTTGAAAGCGGAACAAGAAATTCTTTAAGGCATATATTGAGGAGTTTTTAAACATAGATTTCTTATAATTCCCCATTTCAACTTACAAGATTTTGAAAGTTTTCACCTTAATGTTACTATTGATAATGATAAACACTGTCAAATATGACACCTACAAACTTGTTTAATTACTGCAGCTGAGAAATGAGTTGCTTATACTTTCAATAAAACAGATCACTAAATTGTTAGTTAAGGGTATTTTGCAACTTACCTTGGTTCTTCTTTGGGGAGACATTGGGGGATGAGATATTCTGGGGATCAACCGAAGGCCCCAGTATGAACAGTAGTAATTTAGGATTTTGTGAAAGTCTGAGATTTGAGGGAAATGTCTACTTTCCTTCAAGTTCAGTAATATAGTACCACTTGCCACTAACATAAGCTCATTACAATCTGGCTTATCAAAATTCTTGCCTTTTGCAATTAATGAGATATTACATATTACCAACTGAGAAGGAAAAAAAATCCCAGTTTTCATTTGATAAACCAGCTATGGAAGCACTTGCTGCTACAGAGACTCTTTCTGAAAAGTAAATGAATAAATGCCTTCTTGAAAACTTTACTTCATTTGAAAATTTAGCCTAAGCATAGAAAATTTTAAATCATCCTATTTACTAAAGCTGGCTAATAAGCTTCCTCAGAGTCCAGGACAGAGGACTGGTAGAGAAGAACAACAAAATGCTAAACAAAACAAAATAAAACAAAGAAACAATGATAAGAGTTGTACTTAACATTCTTAATTCTTGGATATAATTTAAAGATCCATGTTGATGTACTTAAAAGGATAAATCCCTGCATTTAATTTTTATTAAATATGTTCTCACATTTAATACATTGTTTTCACATTCATATATACATATAAAAGTTCGGAGGCCTTAGAAACATGTTTATAATTTAAATATACCTTTATATAATACTGTGAAATAAAATCTGAATAAAAATTTTATTCCAACAACATTTCTCTATTTTCAACTTTGTTTATTGTTTTAAGTTTTTTTTTTTTTGAAATCACAGTGGAAATTAACTTATGCTTAATCATCCAGTTAGTGCCTATGTCAACTTTATCAAATGCCAAAAGTAAAATCAACTGGTTCATACACTCTATGCTCTGTTAACCATCCCACCATTCATTGCCTCATCATTTTCCTTTTTGAACGGCAACATTGTGATAAGATTGTGAAAAGGTGTAACTAACAGGTTTGTATAGATACCATTTCAAGTATTCAGAAAGCAGTATGCTGGACGCATTGTGCATTAAAAAACTATTGACATTAAATCTAAGTATATGAGACTGGCTCCTAGTGGGAGTGTCACGAAGTTGTATGTCACAGTGTATGACAAGGATTTACAGCATTCTAGATTTTTCACAACTCTGCCATGTTAGTGAGTGACATTAAGTAAATATTTCACTTCTTTACTCTCAAATGTCAAATATGGGATTTCCAAACACAAATAAATAAAGCATACACTCCGCATGTGTAGTGCAAATGCTCAGTAAACAGAGTGACATAGAATAAGCTTACAGTCGCCATTTAGTTAGTGGTTCAACAGGGAGGTCCTGAATTTATGAAAGTTGTGACTTGTCTACCTGTTCCAAATAGATACTGTCACTGTCCCATCTCAAGAACAATGACCAAAAAGGCTACTGAGTTGTGCTGATGTAGTGAGAAGGGAATGGGAACTCATGCACAAACGGGTGGTACAATTTCTGTCACTTCTGTGCAGCATGTAAAATCTTATTTGCTAACAAACCTCAAACTCCTGCAGCCAAAGCAGGTATCAAGGAGGATAATCGCAAATGTTTTGCTTAAAAGAATTATATGTTGGCACCTATGTACTATATTGTGACCCAGTTAATAAAATGAGTGAGAGGTGATTATTTTTAAAGTTAAAATTTTAGAAGTGATACCTGAATGTTCAAAACTCAAATTATGGAAGATCCAAGTTCCATAAGCATTTATACATGGCTCTGCTTCCAAGCACTATTTGAGCAATCATCTTCAGCACTTTTAGCAAAAGTAAGAGCTTTGTTGCTCTGTTCTAATTAGAAAATTCTTCCAGAGAAAAAATATTGATAGGAGAAAAATATTAGCAAAATCTGAAAACCTTTTCACTCATTTACTTCATTACATGTTTTTCTTCACAAGTATCCACAGTTATTAAGAAAAAAGCATATACAAAAGAAACAAATAAAAATGTCTCTAATAAACAAAAATACAAAAATTGTGCCAGCCATCTTTTCACTTGCCTCTTTACACAGAGTTTAGGAAACAGTCTTTGAAATACTGTTACAAGCTAAATACAAATAGAATCTAAAACTCAATGACACAGGAAACAAACACACATCTTATCAAGAGAAAACACCATCCCTCACCTGTAATCCATACATAACATTTAAAACTAAGGTCTGACGCAATCACGTAATTGATTTAAATAATTAAGGCTTCTAAATGGTTCACTGCCAACTTTCTGCATCAGTATTAGAATAAAATACATTTCTGCATTTAGGGTTGTGCTCTTTACAGACATTTTATCCATGGAATTTCATTAATAAGGTCTGATGGGGGCGTGTTAGGATTGTTTGCTGACATTTACTTTTAGTAGCTGTTAGACTAAAGCATAGCACTACAAACCTGATCCCATTGCCTGGGCTGTCCACTCATTTTACCTTCTTTTCATGTTTAATATGACCATTTCCTTTGTATTTGCCATTGGGGATTCCATTTTGGTAATGTCCATTAACTGTGCTATGCTTATTTCTAGACCATAGACATTTGACTTTTCTATAGATAAATTTTGTCACATAGGACAATATGAAGTAGAGCGAGGTAGCACCAAGCAGAAGCACAAAGGCAATATCCAGTAGAAAATACTGACAGAAAGAGATCTGATGGACAGCTGAACGGAGGTGATGGGCTCCATCATGGCGAAGAATGTAGTCTATCCAATAGGTAGTCCGATTGACAGGGTGGCCAGGTTGATCCTTATGAATTTCCGATAACTTCTGAGCCCTCTGCCGATAACTGCAGTGGGGACAAACGTGATATGATCATGTATACAGAGCTTCTATACTGATATATAGCTCAATTTAGAAATGTGGAAAATGACTGACACTCCTGTCTAAGCATGTAAGTGTGTTCCAGGCACTGGGTTAAATGCTTTATATACTTGCATCTCATATATTTCAAGCTGGTGAGAACAAGTAAACCTAGTAACATGAAATCATTCCACAGATGAGAGGCAGATTTATATTTTCTGACCCACGCCCTGTCCATACCACATTGTACACTCTCCCCATCAGATGCTTCTAAAAGCTGTTAAGCTAAGTATCTCTTCAGGAAAGAGACACTTTAAAATTCTACAAAAAGGATAGAGAAAAGCAGGAACATTTTTCCTACCAGTTCTTAAAAAAAGTAGTGTCATTCAGTTCTTTAACTTAAAGCCATAATAATTGGTGGTGTGGGAATGTTATTTTTATACAGAAGAAAAGGGGTTGAAGTTAGAGTGAAAGAGTCGGTATGAGTTGGTTAAGATCCTTGATTATATGAGAAAGTAAGTAAAGGGAAGTCAGAAGCAATTATAATGCTAGCAAGCTGCAGGACTACGGCAGATCTGGTGAACAGAAAGTATCCCGAGGTGAAGAGCACTAGCCATAGGGTAACAGCATGGGGTGTGATGAAAGGAGAGTCCAGAGCACAGGACGCGCTATGCGATGACTACACCTCTACAGTACAATCATCAGTGTACAGTGCTATATGAATTGATGCGATGTTCCTTTTATGATGTAGCTGTGGCTTTAAATAATTAGCCCGTAATGGACATGGTAACAAGTTAGGGAAATGAATGGAAGGGAATTAGGACTGGGGTCAGTAGCAAGCCATGATAATCCTTTGTAGGCTGTTTCTATATCCATGCTATGAGCTTTTAGAGGCACATTTACTCTGCTATGACTATAACAAATCCTGATGAAAATGACTTAAAATTTTCACCCAAATTTTATGAGCCCACCCACATCTTGTATTACATTATATCACACTTTCTGGCTGATGGCAAAAGAAAGTGAAAGATTCCTTCTTAATCTATTTTATTTTAAAAAAGATATATGGATAAATGATTTTCCTTAAAACAGAAAAATGAAGTAGAATATTTTACACATTTTCCTTCTTGATTGAAATTAAACTACATTATCTTTTATGAATTTATGAAAAAAAAAAACCTTCCATAGTAAAAGCTGACCATGACTTAGACAAGTAGTATTATAAGGATCAGCTCACCTTTGTTTACTGGTTTCCTTATAAGAAAGTAATAGGTTTTCATTAAACCAAACCAAAGTTTACATTTAAAAAGGCAAAAGTAGCCAGCCAGCCAACCAACCAACCAACCAACCAACCAACCAACCAACCAACAAAAACCTTTGTTTAGCAACATTGATTACTTGGCTTAAACTAGAATATCGTGAATATAATGTTAATGAGGCAAATTTAGCCTTTAAAATAATGATTTCACATCAGAAGTGGAACATTTGCCATATATTTTAGGTACATCTCTTGAGTTTATATAATGGCTTTTAGGGAATGGCAAAATTAACATATCTATGTGTACCTCAGGACTGTGCTTAGGATTTCAGTGGAATGTAATGAGTGTAGCCAGATCCTTCTCTAATTTATGCTGGCTCACATCTCTGAGAACACAGCTAAACTGAGCTGGGAACAGAGCTCATTGAAGAGTGCTTGCCTGGCATGTGCATGTCCCTGGGCTCAATCTCTAGTTCCACAATCAAAACAAATTACCTTGCTGAACAATTTTTTGTAAATGTTCTTCTATAATGACCCAAAGTTAATAGCTCTCCAATTTTACCATCCTGAATCTTTCCTTTAGATTTCAAAGGTCTGTGTAAAAATATTCATGCTTCAAAATACATGAGATCTAACAAGAGAAATTAAAAATTATAGAAGGGATAGTATGCAGGTGCCTGAGGCACAGAACATACTGTTCCATGTGCCACAATTGTGTCCAAGACACTAGCTAATAGATGAGGGCCATCTCCAAGCCTACAAAAGGCAGCATAATGAAACTTGGATGAATCAAAAAATTTTATATGTAAGCTTCATTATTTTTTTAAGCAATCATTTTTCCATTGACATTTCTTATAATATAGCAATGACTCTCAGGACAGTGTTCAGCCATATAACCTAGGTATAATCAGAAATTAGATTGAGCTCTTCAGTTATTTAATGCCATTTGAAGAACATGATAAACCAAATGTCATGCCTTTACATGAAGAAAATCACTGCTTTGTTTAAAAGTACCCAGGCCAGCTGCCCACTGAGACTCACTTGTGAAGTGGGTTAATTCAGGACACATCAAGAATTTAAAAGGCAAAATAAAGATTCTAATTCATCATTCACATGAGCAAATACATCTTAGCAATAGCTAGTTCTGGGAAAGCCAGGCAGGATGGAGAGTTCTGATTAACAACCAGATAGGTCTGTCTTCTGTTCGTGTTTGAATAGCTGTGTGACTGTAGGCAAATTACTGATGTTCTTTAAGTTTCAACTGCCTCATTTCTACAGTAATAGCAAAACCTCTGACATAAGTCAGCAGCCAGCGATGGCTGATTAGCACTGTCGGCTTGGGAGGATTTAGAATTCCCAGAGAAACATGCTTCTCTGTATGTGTGTGAGAACAGTTCCAGGAGGCAACTGAGGAGGCAAACTATGAATATGAAAGCACTGTTCTATGGCTTGGGCTGAGGAAAAAGCAGAAAGTCAGAATGGCAGCCCTATTCCCAGTCTGTTTTCCTATCAAGACGTGAGGAAGCTCCCATGATCACTGCTGTAGGCACTCCTGCGGTCAGGCCTTCCTCACTGCCAGCAGGTTATACCTTCAAACCAAGGGCCAAAATCAATCCTTCCTCTTCCATGTCACATCTTGTCAAGGACTTGGTCACAGCTATGACAGATGTAACTAGTTCAATGGGTATGGAAGGTAAATAACAGATGCAAAGTCTGATACACCAGAGAGATTCAAATGATTGTTCTCACCTTTGTTTCTCTGTCTGACAAATCTTGGTGGCAAAAACCTCAGGGTCACATCATGAATGGCTAAATGACTGTTCCATTTAACTTCAAATTTTAGGAAAACAAACATAAGAAATAACAATGATATAAGAGATATCTCTCTCCATGCTGGAATCACAGAAATCTTACTGGCAATATACTGTATAATTAAATACATGTGTGTATGTGGATAAATGTGATAAATGTATATACACATACTATCATCTGTCTGCCTTATATGAGCTGAAACCTTACCTGGGATTATTGATAACTTTCACCAGTGCATCATACAGTTCTCCTTCAGTAACCGTATTCCATTCTAATAAAATCCCCATGCCTTTTGCCTGTACTCTAGTCATAGTATCATAATGGTCTCCAAAAAGCGGAATTCCCACTACAGGGACACCATGATACATGGTTTCAAATATACTGTTCAAACCACCATGGCTTAGGAAGGCTCTGATGTTTGAATGACCTAAGGGATAAAAAGGAAACAACTTATATTATTACTCCAGATTTATCCAGAACTTCTTACAAGACAAACAAAATAGTAAGTTACAATTTAGTAAGTGCAATTTCATTGATCCATTCTTTATACCAATTAAAATGATTGTTACATATATCAACTAAAAGCCATTTTAGGTAATTTAAACACATAACATTAATCATGAAATATAAGACATTCTTTCAAGCACAGATTTCACATAACTAGCAATACACACTCTAATTGCTAAAAATGAACAGAAAGTGAGGACATCATCTATAAGAGATGCAGTATTGTAATATTTAGTTGTCACAGGAATGGAAATTTCAGCTGGTCAAAATGTTAATGAGGTATCCCTTCTGGTAAGTGGGTTGTATTTCATTACAGAGATGAAAAATTTGCATAAGAAGTGAAAGAAATATGTTGTTGGCCAGTAAATAATTATAGGGTGCAGAAATTCAAATCTATTAAATACACTTACCAGGCACAAAACTGTGGACAAGCTGTCATACTAATAGACTCTCAATGCATTTGTCTCTCCTAGTATTGTATAGAGCGTGCCTAACTCTTACCTCAGACAAAGGATTAAATTTAAAAATTGTATTAGTAGCAGGATTCCTATTTGAACAAAACCTGTACTACCAAGTCCAGCATTGAAAACATCAAGCAGAGCTGGTATACGAATGAAAGGGGGACTTAGGGTGAAGGGAGAAGACAGTAGTTTAGTGCCTACTTCTAGTCCTGAGTGAATCTTTGACTACAGGATTCATCACAGCACCTGCAGAAGTGTTGCTCAATGTACTATGAAAGGACTGTTCTTGGGAAAGTCAGAACACTGAGACAAGGAGAAGCTGGGGAACCTTGAGGAGGTCTTTCTCACAGGATATTAAACAGCTGCGGTTTGCTGTTGGTTCCACATGGAAAGGTCAGATGCTCCTAGGTAAGAGCATCACACCTTGCACTGAGATAGCTGATGGTCAACTTTGCTATGGATTTTTTTACTTGCTTCTCCCTACATTATATAGATTCTAAAGTCACAATAACAAAGACATAGAAAAGAAGGAAAGCATTGGGAAAAGAAAATTGTGTTTATTTTTGCTTAGTTTCATTTATTTAGGTGTAGAATGAGTTAGGTAGAAAGGAAGTATATATAAAAGTTTTTCACCATTTTACAGTGAAAAATTGAAATAGCTGGATTTGTAAGTGGAGACGGGTAGAGTGCTTGCTAATCATGTGAGGTCCTGTATTCAATCCTCAGTGACTGAACACACACACTCCAATTATTTAACTTTTTGGTGGCATACAACTATGATTCCAGTACTTGGGAGCTAGAGGCAAGACTTCAAAGCTATATAGTTGCGTACAAGTACTAAACTGTTTTAAAATATAATAATAATAATAATAATAATAATAATAATAAAAATAAAATAAAAAAGTATCTTGCCCTAAAGGTCATTGTAGCATCTAGAAAGTATATTTCTAGAAAAGTTTAAAGTATCTTTAAGGTTGTTACTAGCATTTTAAGATAATTTTAAAATAAGTTACTTTACTTGATATTTAGTATTGATTATGCATAAGTGTGAGTCAATACTGCTCAGATCAACATCTTTATTATCATTTCATAGTAAGGGCTTACATGGTATTTAATGAATAAATTTAATAAATGGAAATTTTCATTTTTACTGTCTATACTCATTAAACAAAGTAAAATAATTTATACTTAGGCATACTTAAAAGATAAGCATGTAATCAATGTTACTTTAATTTTATGTTGAAGACCAAAATCACAACAAATAAAAATTTAAAACAAATGTTTCTTTATCAAAACTATATAGTAATTTAGGAATAATTAAGGCAAATGATCAAATTAAACTTAAATATTCCCCTTATTTTCAGCTGTTTTTTTGTTGTTTCAGAGAAGTGAATAACTCCCAAATTATCTCAGAGTTAGATACATCTGTAACTGAATATAACATCAGCTTGTGTTTGTTTGTAATTTAACTGCTGTTATCAACTAACCTAATATTGCTTTATATATTGCTATTAGCTTATACAATTTAATGTAAGTTTTATGGTCATTAAAATTGGGTGATTGTTTAAAGTATTTCATTACAGATTTCAGTAGCTACATTTTACAAATGATTTTACAACAATCAAAATTAAGATCAGTGATCTGAATTTTGAGAATTGAAGTGCTAGGTAAGAATTACACCACACACACTTTCCAAACCACTCCTGTACTAGCATCATGTTTATGTATCAGTCAAGTAAGTGCAGCTACTGACTTACCAAGCAGGTCATTTTGAGGCAACCATTCTATAAGCTTAGTGTTGTTTCCTAGGTTCTTTGGTTTGGTTCCAGAAAATCTAAAATAGATACCAGACAATGGGTATTTCAGAAATGAAGCTTTATAACATGCATTAATTTTGTAGACTTATGAGTGTTATGTTATATGATAAATTACTGATATTCTTCTGAGTAAAGTTTTGGCTTAGTACCAATAGAAATATTCCACATATAGACAGATACATTTTCTCATAAGTCTATTTACTCTTCTAATAATTCTAAATACATATATAAGAGATGTGGGGACCCAAATGAATATTTGCTAAATTTAATTCTACACAAGTACTCAGAGAGGAGAGAAACAATCCCCACTGAGCTGTCACTAACCTCCGTCCTTGCAAGCCAGTGCCAACACTAAAAGGCAGCAGAAAATATGCTTCATTCCCTTTGGTCCAGAAAGATTGGCAGAGCAAAACACATAGTTAGGCTGTTTCCTATGTGGTGAACCTCAAATGTATCTCACAATTATGAGGATGACAAGAGTTCTCAATAAGGTACAAGGATGCCCTGAATTAACAACCCTGATAGAGAAATCCCAATGGAACTCAAGTAAGATGAGGGAAGTTCTGCTCAGAATAAAGTCAATGCCCATTTCCTAGCCCAGCCTTATGCAGTGTTAAAAACCTAGACAATCCAAAGTATACATAATGTCTTGGGAGACACTTTTTTCCTTTCTGTGGAGTTGTATTCACTAATATACCTCCTGAGCTCCAAGAGTGCAAATCAATGCATGCTCAGTGAAGTATGCAGGCTTGTTTCCATGCTGCAGGGCCTTCGGTGGAAGCTGGAATGTTCCTCAGAGTTTATCTTAACCAATATTAATTAGCTGGTAAGGTACTGAGAGTTTTAGAAGCTCAGGCTCTAAGATCAAGAATCTGGAAATATACTAAAGGGAGAGTGCAAAGTACCTGGGTTAATAAGCACTTAAGTCGTTTACTCAGTCATCATTCACTACCTTATTCCAAACTAATTTGAAAAAATTATATAGACAGGTGTGAAATTACAACTAAATCTTACAATAAAAAAATGGGGGGGTGTGTTAAGCTGGAGGAAACATAAAACTGAGCCCAATGCAGAATATCTCATTCCACAATATATTATGAATACATTCTATGCAGTTATCTTTATCAATTACAGACCTTTATGAATAAGCTTTGGATCTCAATGCAGTAGAAACAAAATAAAAACTCAAGATCACTTAGCCAGTCAATCAATATGTCATGCTCCACAAGGACATTAAGATTAAATAAGGAGATACTGGGTTTCAACAGTAAAAACCAGTCTGAATTATCATGACCTTACCTCCAAATCACTTTTTGAGGCAGTCTCCCCAGAGCTCCTGCCAGTTTGTTAGCAATGTCTTCTGACAAATACTTGACACCAGCTCCAAAAGACACCAGGACAAAGCCATGTTCCTGAGCACCATTTACCCACCTCTGCAGATCCTGTAAGAGAAACATGGAAAACAGCTTTATGAAGACCAATACAAGTCAGTCCCATTAAAAAGTATTTTGAAAAATCTTCATATAATTTCCTTAAACAAACAACAAAAAAGTAAGAACAGCACATGGGATTTTCCTCTAAAAACTACAGACTGCATTAAAAGGTTTATGTCCAGGGACAGAAAAAATTTTCAGTCATTAATGACACTTACCACTCTTTCAAAGAACTTGGTTTCAGTTTCTAATACACACATACAACTGTCTGTAACTGTAGTTTCTAGGAATATGGCAATCCTTTCTGATCTATGCCCATAAGATGTATGTGCAGACTGTGCATACATACATGTAAGAAAAACACTCATAGACATAAAATAAATAAAATTTTAAAAAGTATTTCTTCTAACAATACTCAATGAACTAGGGTGGCATATGTTTTTGTGTTTCTCTCTCTCTCTCTCTCTCTCTCTCTCTCTCTCTCTCTCTCTCTCTCTCCCTCCCTCCCTCACTCCCTCCCTTTTTCCCTCTTTCCCTGCCCTCTCTGTCCTTTTTCACTGAGTATCAACTCAAAAAACAGTAGCTAAGAGAGAGAGTATCAGATCTCAAAGATCAGAACATTCTAATAGTTGACCCATCACTGGTTAGAAATGTGAGACTATGACCAAGAGATTCAGACTGACTATGTGTCAACTCCTCCAGCTATACTCCTCAGTGAGTCTTTTAAACTCTGGAGTGGATGATATGCACAAAAATAAAAGCAGTCTCCTATACGGGTACCACTCCTGTCAGTTGTGTTCTGTAAGCACAAGTTCTAGGTTAATGTCAGGTCATCCAGCTGAAATGAATCTTTCTCAAAGATATAGAAGCTGTTTACTTTTGAACAGTAATAGGTCCAGCAACATTTGAGGACACAAAACTCCCTTAAGGACAACCCTGCTGTCTAATGAATGGTACACCACTGGCAGTCATCAAAACAGCGTGTGACTCAGTTTTGTAGTAGTATTTGTGATGCAGAGCCTGCTGTTAATGCCATTACACAGACCCTGCCTTTCTGTTCAGTATCAGTGGATTGCTATCCTGTGTTGCTGTGGTTTTACAGTTTCATACCACTTTTTAGAACACATTGACCCACAGCCAAGGAATACTACATGTTAAGAATCATGTCACACTGGTACCACAGTTCAGCTTGCCTATATAAACATGTGACATACATTTTCTTTATTTAATGATACTTGTATAGAGGTGCTTTATGACATTTCATTCCTAGAGAAGGAAGGGAAGGACCATACTTTATATCCCAAATGAATTAGAGAATCAAAACACTGTAAGAGGGAGAACGAGTGGTAAGAAGGTAGAGCCCTGTAGCCAGTGAAGTAATCACATTTTGATTGTTGGATAGACACCTAGCTTAACGTTATTTTCTAGGAATCTTGATTATAATTGTATAAAAGAAACAGAGCCTACCTCAATTTTAGATTAAAACTATTATTTTGTTACATTTACCAAGCCTTACTTCACATGTTGAAAACTTAAGCATGATATCTCTAGATTCTAAGTAAGAATGAGAAGCAAATCTACAATTTAAATTTTATGCACAGTTTTGAGGCTGACATTTCTGAGACATGTACAAATGCTTCATGTATGCAGGAAACATGGCATCTTTTCCCTGTCTTGCCTTCCTGTAATTTACCAACAACCATTCAATTTTTGGATCAATACTATTTGAAAAAAGTTTATACAGATGCAGGAAGCTTCACAGAAATGATGTCATTTCTTTCAGGAAGATTTGAAATGTCCCAGAGTTTTAGCAAACTTTAGTTTAATGTTTAATTAAGTGTTTAAAAGTCAGTTCTCCAGTTATTATTTGGCATGAAGTGAAATGAACACACACAAAAGAATGACCTGAGAACAGATGGGGAATGAGTAGACACTTAACTTGGACTCGATGGAACCCTCCTTTTCCCATGGTTTCTGATCCTCAAAAGTACACAGAATATTGACTTGACAGATGTACAATGGGGACACTGAAGGGACTGAAACTTGGATCTGGTAGAAAGATACCCAGGAAACACATTTGAGTTAGAAGTGACTGAGAGATTAAGGCTGCTAAGCCCACAGCAAAGACATAAACTGGGATTTCATGAAGGAAAAAAAAAAAAGTGTCTTTATCTTCAATCGGTTGGGAAGCTCTAGCTAAAACCTCTTCTACGTATACACTGACAATATCTTTCAGAACATAAGAATTCATTGATATGATTAAATGATTCTGTGAAGATTTTTTAAGAAAATTAATTTCAGAATAATGTGTAACATAAAAAAACTGACTGAAAAACTTATTATTCTAAAATATGAAAGTACTTAAAATTCCTCCCTCTAAGAAAATACCAAATCAACAACAAAAATTGACTAATAGTTCATCCATTTGCAGTACAATATCAATAATATATAATAAGTAATTAAACTGAAATGTTTAAAAAACACTTGAAGTAAACATGAAAACTTTAAGAGGGGACAAAAATATCTGACTAAAAAGAGTAACAATATGCCTGAGTAGTAAATATTGATGTTAAAAATGATGCCAATCTTTATAAAAAAAATTGTGTGTATCTACATTTTCAGAGAGAATTTATTAAATATTAAAAGAATGTTAAAACTTCAGAAAACAAAATAAGAGGCTGGGGAGATGTGAATTGATAAATCTCTTGCTGTGCAAACATGAAAACCTAAATTCAGATCCAGAGCTGAGCACAGATCCACTACAATCCCTGTGTTGGGACAGTGTAGAAAGAATGACCCTGGGTATAGGCTAGCTGCCTATGTAGCCAAGTCAGCCAAAGACCCTGTCTCAAAAAATATGGTGAGGCATGATTTGTCTGCAACTGTTCTTTACATGCATGCAAACACATGCATGTGTACTGCACAATACCTGTACACACATGGACAAATAAACACATGTGTATCACACAAATGAACTCATTTAAATATGAAAATACACCAAAAGACTAAGAAACTTTAGAAAGGCACAGGCAGTTTACTTTTCTAGGTAGTAATGTGTCCCCAGTGCCTATAACTATTATGTCTCTTGATGTTGTTAGCAAATAGAACAGAGCAATGAAGATGGCTGACGGAGATAAATTACTGTCAGATATCAGCTGAAGATTTTCATCAGAGAGTAAAGGAGTTATAAAAATATAGGTCTAGGAAAACATGAGTTTCTATACTTTCACAGATCATGAATCACAGAAGGATAAAAAATGTTAAACTGAATTAAACAGATGATTTATCTGTAGACACAAAAGAATCTGTTTATCTTATTCTAGAATGGTCTTCCTGAGTCAGAGACAACAGAAGTCACAAAAGAAAGAGGTGGAGCTCACTAAAGATCAAACACACTACAGAGAATAGAAGAAACAAAACAATATACTAGAAAGAATTTAGATCATATTATAAAGGGTTAGTGAGAACACCAAATAAACAGAAATACACATGAATGACTTGGGAAAAGTACCCCCAGGGAATGTTAAATTGCACAAACATTCCCGAAAAATGTTTCACTTTACTTCAGAGGAATACAAACTCAAAATGTTTGTATCATCTCCAAGCCCTCTATTAGATGCTAAGACATCACAATGTAATTCATTCAACCTTTAACATTAAAAGACATGATTGCATGTTCACTTACTAAGTATTACAGTTTTGTAATTTTCTTTCAACTTCCTTTTTTTTATTAAGGAAGAATACAATCTCTTAAGCGGCTCTAGGGTTTTCAGCAATCTTTTCCCACTTAAGATTATCACTCAAGTGGTATTTTCTTTCCATAATTCAGCAGTATGTACTCTTTAGTGTATTAACTTTCCATCCATCTAGAACTTAAGAGAATTTAATTTCCACGGATCTAGAATAATGAGACTGAGTTCTATAGTCAGTTTTGCTTTGACACATGATCTTGCTATGTAGTTCCTGCAACTCTGACACTAGTCATGTAGCTATGTCTATTCTCAATCTACAGCAATCCCCATGCCTCCGCCTTCCAAGTGCAACATCATGCCTGCCTCCATCATTATTTGTAATCATCCAGCTAGTCTGCTTGCTCAGTACAATGTATTGACTATTTCATCTTCTCAATGATTAAAACAGTCATCAACTCTTCAGGGATTCAAAGGTCATCACCTTAGTTGCTTTCTGAATTCTACTGTTCCACTTATCTGTCATCCCTGCAAATTCTGAAATTTATTATTATTTTATAATATACTTTAATGTTTGCATGGTTCAAATTTTCTCATTGCATTTATTTTTCAATTATGTTATTTTTTTACATTTGATACATTTTAATTACTTTTTAAACTCAAAACAATGTTACTTGTATGCATTGTGGATATTTATACATATATGCATAGAATAAGTATTCTATTTCACACAAAATGTAAATTTAGAAATCCTAACCATTCCTTTATGTATAGTATAGTATACTTTATATATAGTATACTTTATGTATAGTATAGCACTCTACTTTATACCACCAGGTGGCGTGGCAGGCATAGAGCAGAGCTGCCTGGCTTCAAACATCACCATGTCCAAGACTGATACTCATACCTAAGGGTTCTGGAAAGCAAACCCCCAAGGGAATAGCTTTCCAATCTTCTAAATGGAAATGAAAGCCAATGATCAAAACAATGCACCAAATATTCTACATAAGCATAGTAACACAGATGTTAGATGTTACCCTACTACATGTGGATACTTTCATGTTTACACAGTTTAATTGCCATATCTGTGCTACCCCCTCTCTCCCTCCCTTTCCTCCCTCTGTATATGAACATTTCAGAAAGAAAACCTCAAAATAAAAGTAATCATATTGTCTTCTTGCAGTGTTAAGTAAGTTTCCTTTAATCTTATACAGTAAAGAAAACATAAGGAAAGTATTTATGTTTGACATTTATAGTAATCATTTCTGTATGTTAAAATTTCTGCCTTCCTTAACAGCTACACCATAACTAGGTAGTGAT